TGGACTGATGGTAATCAAAGTTTCTGCATAACACCTTGTCCAGCTGGGCAGCTCAATGTGAAACCTTCCAGAAAGGCAGGCCATGTGCTGTCTTAGGAGATAAATCTTCCTTATGATCTTTTACTTTATTTTAGATAGTCCAGTTTTTAATGCTTCTTATTTTATAGCTCTGGTTACATTTCATGCCATAGGTTGCTTTTATTAATAAAGTGAGAGACCTGAGATTTGGATATGACTCATCTCAGATATAAAGCACTCCGGGCACCCTAATTTTAGATGAATAAATTTAAAAATATTATTTCAAATGACTGCATGTCTATCCCACCTTGATACTCTTCTGTGATACGCAGGTGTTGCTTCCCTCAAGCTCCATTTTTTCATTTTCTCCATTTTATGTGGTAAAACTGGAATTATGCCAAAGAAAACTAATAAAATCACTCAGGAGTGAAAAATCAATGTGAATTTTGTGACATGGGTTGTAATTTTTAACAGGGAATAAAGTTCATTATCTTGACATGACTGAAAATAGTATTTGACAGTAAGGAGTGGATCTCTGAAGAGGAGTTAAACATCATGATACCTAACTTAGGGATGCTGTTTCAGAAAGTGGAATATAAACTCCAGTCCTTGAGTAGAGACAAGTCAAAGATCAGAATTCAAGTAAGTGCTGACCTTGTCAGTGACCATTGACCATGTCAATGAGTGTCTGATAACCACTGGGAAATACTGAAGTGAGGAGACAGACATACATATCTTGGCTTAAGGGATGTTTGGTGCCTAACCTTGTCACAGAAGACTGAAGGAGGGAGAAGTGCTTGTGGTGATCTTACACTTTTGTGTGATGCTGACACTTATCTCTTCACCTTGTGTAAGGGAATGGAGAACAACAATCTGGGTATCTCTACACTGCATAGTCCATTTCAAAACAGAAATCTAAACTGAAGTCTTCTATATCCCAAGCTGTAGTAGGATATACGAAACAGACACTCTCACAGACTTTTCTTCTTGTCTATCTCTGTATGGAAGCAGGTATGCTCAGTGTACGTGTTAGTTTAGATATTTAAAGTGAGTTTGACAGAAAAGATTGATGTAAGATAATCAATTGTGTTGGGTGCTGAGTTTGTCAGACTTTCTAAGAGGCATCACATAATTGAGAAGAGAGATCTGGATTGGGTTGGAAGGTACCACCAAAAATCACCTAGTCCAACCCCACTGCAATGGACAGGGACATCCTCAGTTAGATCAGGTTGCCTCAGAGGCCCATCCAACCTGACTTTAAGTGTGTTCAGGGATGGGGCATCCATTACCTCTCTGGTCAAAAAGCTGTAGTTTTACCACTCTTATTCTAAAATAACTTCTTCCCTAAATCTAATCTGAAATGATCCTCCTTCCGTTTAAAACCACTAACTTTTGTCTTATATCAACAGACCCTGCTAAAACATTTGTCCCTATCTTTCTTATAAACCTCTTTAGGTACCAAGCTGAGCAATCCCAACTCTTCTCGCCTTTCCTCACAGGAGAGATGCTCCAGCCCTCTGGACCCACTCCAAAATGCCCTTCCTATGCTGAAGGCTGGATGCAGTACCCAAGATGGGGTCTCATGAGAGTGTAGTAGAGGGGAAGAATCACGTCCCTCAAACTACTGGTCATACTAATTTGATGCAGCCCAGGAATTTCACTAGAATTTATATTAACTCTTAACCTATAACAAAAAAACCCAAACAAACAAACAAACAAACAAACAAAAAACAAAACCAAAAACCAAAAACAAAACCAAACAAACAAACAAAAAAAGCCCTAGAAAAAATCCTGGATCTTAATAGTCATTTACAGAGAAGACAGAGAAGACATTTCAGCCATAAAAGCATTGCAGAACGAGCCTCCAATAAAACTTTTTTTTCTGGTAACTTTGTTGTAGTCATTATTGACATTTGTTAAATATAGCAATGTCTTTTACATGGGCATCAACCTTCTGTGGAATGATTCAGTAACAAGATAAGCAAAACTACAGCTCCACTGTTGAGAAAAATTTGCAAAGATATCTTCTATGCATCAAAAGAAGATGGCAAAAATTATAACAATCACTTTAAAAGAAAAAAAGCCACATATATGCAAATGAAAACTTAATGTATTTTGAGGACATTCATGTATATAGAAGTAAAACTAGAACTAACCCCAAAATGGGCTCTTGTTCACACTAAAGCTTTATTTAGCTCGGTATCATGACTCTCTGATGATAGTCCACAGTGGAAGTCTAGGAAAAAATACAAGCACAAGTATGCAATAATAGGTCCCCAGACTGTCTGTCTAGTCTCAAAGAAATTGCAGGTCTGGGACTTTCTAACTCAATGGGTATCTTTTCATACTTAATAACCCACTACATATTTTCCCATAATTTAAGCTAGGCACTACTCTTGTCTCTCTGGATTTTTAACATGCACAGTTGGGCAAGGAGCTCCACAGATTAATTACATGAAAAACAGCTTTCTTCTCTTTCTTTTGAACCAGCACCTTAAGCAGTTTTTACCACACCTCACTTCTTGTATTTAATCAACTATTTGCCTTTTTCATATCACTTAGGATTTTATAGGTAAAGTCCAACAAGTGTAAATATAAAACTTCACATGAATAGAGCCATTTGTGTTCCAGCCTATAGATGGGTCTTGATGTCATACACTTCATGATAATGCGGATATTATCATTATCATATAGAAAGAAATTATGTGCAACAGAAATAAATCTACTGGAAAGACTGTTAATAAATCTACTGGAAAGTTCTATCTGGTCTAAATAAATTAACAGTCTTAAATAATACTTTTATAAATAACTAGTAATCTGATTTTTACAATGACAGCACAAGTCAATCATTGTTAAAAGCAAAGAATGTCTGATATTAGTTTCAGAGTATTTTTTTATTTTGAATTTTCCAATTTGTTTTGTAATGATAGAAACATGCTACTGCTATGGTGACGTGCCAAACTAGCATTGCAAGTACCTTTTCTGGCACCTTGAGCAGAAAAAAAAAAACAACAGTATTTTGATTTGTCTGTCTAAATGGCTCTATGTGTTCATTATGGCCACAGACTCTTAATTTGTGTTGCTCTACTTTTCATGAACTCTTTTTGAAATTCTTGATTAGAGTGATCGTGACAGATATTACAGTAGCATGCTGAGTATACCTCAAGGGATGTTTTGACAGGTTTAAAAATTATATTAAGCATTTTTATATTGCTTCACTCCTCACAAAAGTAGGAGCTAAGATTCTATTGAATCCTTGAAGACTATTGGAAAGAGATCTGGTCCTAAGACCTAACCCAATAATTTTACAAGGAAATGGAATGTATTAATGCTATTGTTACTCTGGTAAACACTTCTGACATTGACCACATTATGCCTAGCAGATCAATATTTTTCAGCCACTTAATTATCTGGGTGATTGCATTTGCCAATTTGAACATAAATAAATGTCTTACCTGATCAAATACTTTATAGAGCTTTAGAGAATTGCTTCAAAATTGAAGTGTTCTAGTCTTGAGAATTTGCTACATTTCCTACAGAGCTGATGACTTGAAATTTTTTATGCAAACTGATTTAGTTTTTTTAAAATTTCTCTTTCAGAAGTGACATTAAGGAGCAGTTAGCTGTACCATGAGATAGTCACTCAAAATGGTGTTGTTTTTGGTCCAGGCTTATTTATAAATTCTCTTGAATTCAAACAAACAGAAAAAATATAAAAGCTGGATAAATATAGAAGCAGAATTGTCTCTACAGGTGATATCACTCTAAAGAAAATGGAATATGATAAATTAAAGCAATCAAAAGCAAAAAAAAGTGAAAAAAAATAAAAGAGCACCAGATCTGTATTTTTTCAGGAATGTAAAGAAACTTTTAGCAAAACACTTGCTAATATTTCCAGCTAATTAAGCCAAACTACATACCACCAGAAATAAAGGAAAAAAAAAAATTTAGGGATATTTAAAATCTTGTTACAGGTCTAGATCTTTATTTTATAACTGATCCTATGAGAAAATAAACCCAGACTCAAGGCTTTCCTAAATCTTTGGTGTTTAAACAGAGAAGGAAACCACTGAGACTGCCTGTAACTACTGCCACTGTAATGCTATAAAAAGTAAGAATCTCCTGGCTTTCAGAAGTAACTGGTTTCCATCCTAGCCTATTTAGGTTTATTACAGGAATATGTTTCACATTCAAATCTTACAGCAATGCCTACCAAAGCACTACATTGTCAACAGAAGTGCAGAATGCAATAGGGAAATTTACAAGCTCCTTTCAGAGAATGAAAACCAACCAACAAAACCTCACCAGAAGTTGTTGTCTTTATGGAAAATTTGAAATAGTTGAGAAATTCCTCTGATGCTGCCATATTTGCAAAATTGAATGATACTTTCTACTTCAAGTATTCTTTTCTTCTAGTTGTGTGCTGAACTTGGTGTAAGTACCAGGCACAAGGTGAACCTAGGAAAGAATGACATTTCAAGACTTGTGAATCTCCACACTTGCAGAAGAACTGCCATACCACAGACATACCACTGCTGATATATAACCATGTTCCTGACATGTAGGAATTTATGGGGTTTTTGCTTGTTTGGTTGGTTTTTTATTGTTTACTGCATTTGAAATTGCAATCAGACTGCTTTGACAACATTTTAAAAAGGGAAAGATTGGAAATTGTTCAGAGAAGAGTTACTGGAATGGTCTGTAGATTGCTCTGGGAAAAATGTTAACAATTAAGAACAGTCAGCTATTTGATTTATAAAAAATAGTTACATATTCAATTATAATAAGAACAAATACCTAGATGAACTGCTGTACATTGAGGGCACAAAGCACTGAATATTTTTCTAAAGGCATTCTGTCTTGTCTACAAAAAGACAAGATAAAATGCCTTTTGTATGATATTTAAAGCCAAGGTGAAAAACTGCAGCTTAAAATATTTCTTTGACTTACATCCTATAACAGAGCAAACTTTAGGCTGGTATGAAGAAAAGGTATCTTAATATGTATAGAAAGACTTTAGTAATCTTCTCAACATGCAGAAAAAATAGACCTGGGAGGAAAGCAGAATAATTTTAATAGATCCGTTCCCCTTTCAAAATCAGAAACCCCCAAATTTTATCTAATGACTGAAGGGTTTGATTGGGGTGCTTTATACTAAACTGCACTTCTGACATCTCCCATTCTCCCCTTCCCTATCCTCCCACCTTCAGAAAAGACTGATCAATGAGACATCGGAATTGCTTAGTTAGGCTGATTATAAAATAGTTTTGTTTTTTTTTTTTTCTGCTGGGAATTTCCAGTGAAAAAATTCTTTTGCCATTCTGCAATAAAATAAAACACACAGAATTTTAAAATATCACATGATTTGAACACAAAACAATGTTTATTTCACTCAAGCAAGACAAAATTAGAACATATTTTGCAATATTTATTTTTAAATATTAAAATATTAAATATTAAAATTCATTTCAATTCAAAGAAAGTATTTAGGAGAAGATAAAATGCAAACTACAGTTAAAAATGCTTCATCTAGATATTTCTCTGATGGGAACTGACATATCAATTCAAGATTAAATAATTTTTTGAAGGATATGGAAAAACTTGTTCCAGAAATACCTATATAGGGTTCTTCTGACTTGCTTAACAGCTTCTACACTGACTGAAGATTTATTGGCAGGGAAATATGACAGTTGAGAATCAGTGATACTTTTCAAAACACATGTGGTTTTAGATTTGTTTCACAGAATCCCACTGGGCATTAGCATAACATAATTTCTGACATTTTCTGTTAGTCATTTCCCTGCCTGGCTAGGATAGAATTGTGAATTGAATAAGAACAGGAAAAAAATACTGTGTTTCTCTTTGTGAAGATCTAATTGTTGCAGCAGACCTTATATCTTACTTTTTTTTTAAAGAATTTGTACTTCTATTTTGGAATAACATACAGATCTCTTTGCTACCAGTGGAATGTAGATCTGTGAGTACTATTTGCAGTTAGAATTATAAAAAGGCACTTTTTAATTTTTTTGTGGTGTAGGGGTGGTATTCAAAAGAACCCTTAAAGAGTAATAGCTAGAGATATTTTCCACTTTACCTTGTTTCATTTGAACAAATGCACTCTGGCCTCAATAGCCATAGCACTAAGGAAAAGGAAAACAGAACCAGCTTTAAGTAAATTTAAAAAAAAAAAAATTAAACAGTATTCTACTGCTTTAAAATGCAATGAATTCTTCTGTTTCACTTTTTCACTATCAGCTGTCTCATTGATTTATGATCTGTTTCACTGCAAACTGTGATTCTTAACACTTGCCTGAGATGTTGATCTCTCTTTCTGTTCAAGTACCTCATGGTGCTGGATATTGCTAAGGATTATCTGTTTTCTATGAGAGTAACCTTCAAAGGCAAATGGATTGTTTGCTAGTGTCATCATTAGTATTTAGAGAGCTTGAAAATACTCTGCTTATGAAAATATAGCAGTAGCTACTGCTTCAGTTAAGTGGAGATATTAATAAGTTTTCAACACTGAGAACTGAGAGAATATTGAATGTTCAAACATGCTATTGGGGCAGCAATGCTCTCATATTTTTTCATAGTAAGCCTTAGGCTTGCAGCACTGAAATAGAGTGCAGGTGAAAATATATTTATGATTGATATGGAAGGTGTTAGTTTAGGTCATTGTGCCTCAGACAACTGAAAGGGCAGTCATGTTCCTCATGCAGAACAATCCACCTTTTTATTACAGGAAGGAAAAGAGATGTAACGAGCTGTCACATTCCTCAGTAAAAGTTACCCAGACACAACTGCTTTGTTCCTTTCTGAATGGAGTCATGGAGTCACTGCATAATTTCATGTTTGTGCCTTCTTTGGGAGTGTTGAATATTGAATAGCTTCTCTGCTATAATTGGTTTGCGTATGAGTGTTAAAAAGCTTCACCTAAACTGTATTTATTGTAAGTGAAATGAAAACAGGAGAGCAGGCACTTGGGCTGACTTTATTGTTAGGTTCAATCCAGATTTATGGGTAAATAGACTGGAAGGAAACCCATTAAGGTGCTATGGCTCTTATGTCTTTCTCAAAAGGTATATTAGCTGTCTGAACAGCTCATATTCCCTCTGCAAAATAACATATCCACAATGTGAGTGTTGTGCACCCAGATCAACCCATTTAATTTAAAATACTTGGTGAGTCAGGGTGGATGAAATTTATTAGAACGGGCTCTGAAAACTTTCTAATGTCTTATACAAAGACTTTGAACATTCCAATGTTAGAAAATTCATACCAAATTTTTCCCAGATCCCATGGATGTGCCTGTATAATAAAGCATCTTGTTCTTGGGCAAAATGAGGGTAGTGTGTGCATTTTCCAAGATTTAGTTCTGTGCTTTTTAGGTTTTTTTTTTTTAACTTCAGCTTCCCAGAAGTGAGTGTATGTTCCTTGACAGAAAGTCAGAAAGCTGTCAGACAGAGTACACTTTATGAGAGCAATATGGTTTCATTTTGCTGAAACATTCCTGAGAATTTTAAGGAGTTGTCAAAATGAATTCACTTTATTACTGGTTAACATTAAAATCAGAACTGAAGCCACAAAAAATAGGTCCAGGAAATAATAAAAAAACCCAGCAGTATGCCTGTCGTTCATTTTGACAGCATTGTGGGAACACACTCTATTGCTTCTGTTTTGCTGTTGGAGTTTAGACTCTTATGGGAAATTTGCTAATTTTTTGTCAGACTGAGTTTAGTTCTTGAAATTTAGCATATTCAAAGTGGGAAAAAAGCTAACACGAGTTAGTGATATGAAGAAATGCATGACCATATAAGCCAATGCTGTGTGATATTTCAAGTACATGGAATAAGCTTATGTGATTAATCACCTACATTTATATATAATATAAATACACATATATATGATTGCAAATTTAAAAATATTGAAATATGCATAGAAGCTTAGTCACAATAATTTATTTAATGACAGGTATAAAATAAATAAATAAATATTTGCCTTTTTTTATGTGAACATCTGATATTGTTAAAAGGATCTATGGAGAATATGAATCAACTAATGGGATGAAGTGAACTCCATTTAAATGCTATGAAGTCAGTATCAGACCTATGGGAAGTGTATTAAATTACATTGATAATACTTAATATATTTGTCCTAATATGCACAAGTCCTAGGACAAATTTTAACAAAGCAAGTGCATAAGAGGGTTAATCAACTTTTAATCTAAGGCTCAGTTTCAGCTCTGATGTTAATTTGTTTGCAATTTTCTATTTTCACAGGTAACATGGTATTTTCACAGGTACAAAGTGGTTTTGTTTTTGTTTTTATTAATACTACTGTGCATTTATAGACATTTAAGTTAAATAGGTTCTGTCATTTCTAATAATAAGCTTAAGAATAATCAATATCTATTTTCAAGGATTTTTTTTCCGTATTTATGGAGACAAGGAACTGCTTTTTGAAATTAAGCAGAAAATGCTAACACAACTCTATTTTTACAAAATTTGAAGAGAACTTGGAGAGCCTGAAGCAGCAGAACATAACTATACAAAATGAAGATGGAACCATATTAGAAGTTTTTCTTGGTATGATAGTAGATTAGTTATATGTTCATGCCTGTAAAATTTGATACTAAAGTGAAGCAGTAATTCAGCATCTGTCCATTCAGCTACCATTTGTATATCATTATCTCTGAATCAAAGTGTTTATGTGTTTTCCACCATGGAGATTGAAATTTTAAAATTTTTTTTTACTGTATAGTTGGTATTAAAAGCCAAATGTTATGCTGTACTGTTTTGGCCTCAAAGAAGGTAGGAAGATTAATTGACTGAAGCAGGTGATCCATAACTTCTTAGTAATATAGAGATTTCAATGAAAGCTGGAGCTCTGAACAATCTACAGAATTCAGTTATTTTATCTTCTATTTAATATCTTTGCATGAGATAATAATAAAAATAAGGAAATAATCCTATACAAAATATGCTGAAGCATTGTATCAAGAAAGACATTTTAATATATTAAAATTTAGTTGTGCAAATGTGTGTGTGTATGTATATATATGTACATATATGTATGTATATATATATGTATGTATTTATATATGTGTGTGTGTGTGTGTGTGTGTGTATGTATGTATGGACATGTATGTATGTATAAATGGATGTATATATGTATATATAAATATATAAATATATATAAATAAAAATTTCATCTAAGTGTAAAAGGAAGCTGTTGGAATTCATAATGTCCCTTAGACATTTTTGGAGGTTCTGGGCCCAGATCAGAAGCATTTGAGACCCTGTCAGGCAGCTGGAAACAGCTGTGATTTTGGGTTTGAACCATGGAATGATTTAGCAATTTTTCAGGAAGAAGTCACAAATGTTTAGATATTATAGTAGAAGTAGTCACAAAGTAGAGGGAAGAATTTTTTAGTGCTGTACAGGGGGGTTTTAATGCTTGCACAGGAGGGTTTCAGTTTTGTACATGGGGGTCAGAGGTTTTAAGATGGAGGGATTTGGGCCTGTCCTGTCCTTCCTCTTTCTTCTTCCTTACCTCCATGTTCTTGGCGATGTTGGCACTCACAGATTGGTTTAGAGTAGAAAAGCACCATTTAATATAGGTAGTAGGTATTGGGGGAAAACTGTAAACATGTATCACGTAATGTACCATATAAAAGATAGCAGCAGCCCTGGGCAGGGGAGAGAAGAAGAAAACACCAGACAGGGAGGGTGCCAGGGGAGTGTGTGCCTCTGCATGAGCTGCTGAGCAAACCTCAGTAGCCAGAGAAGACAATCTTTTAGATAACTTGCAATAAAATGCCTTGAGACCGAACGACAAGAGACTATTGAGGCTTTCTTTGGAAGCATGGGTTGGAGAAGTTTTTTCATCACACGAAGCCACCCCGCAACCCAGGGTGGTCTTCGACAGGAAGCAAATGGCTGACAGCAAGTCTTCATTTCAGCCTTGGCAAAGACAACTATATTTTTAGAAATGCAGGAGCAGTTCCGTGTGTTACTGCCGCGTGTCTTACAGACGTTCCCGTGGACACGGCCCCGGCGCTGTTTCAGACACGGGGCAGCTCTCAGCACCGTCCCGGTCCCAGCCAGGCGCGCCCGGGCGGGTGTTCAGCACCGCGGACAGCAGCCTTGCCTCCAGGGCAGCGGCCAGCTCCCATCGGAGAAACCCTGACCCCGCGGGACTCACGCATCGGAGCCTCAACTGGAGACGCCTTTTCTTCTTGCTGGCATATCTAGCTCTCTATTTCCAGCAGGTGGAGAGGCTTCAAATATCGAAGAACATGCCTGGCTATTTTCCCACGCTTGCATAGGAAATGCATTTTTTTTTATCTCTAGGCAAAATGTAAAAACAACAAATAACTTCCCAGCAATTAATTTTGTTTGAGTAAATAAGGATTTCTGCCTTGGCTAGTTTATGGTGTATAATGATCATGTGGGTTAAGACCTTGAGGCATCTCCTGAGTCTTTTCATTCAGCCTTGACTGATTGTTAAAAAATGAAAAATGTGGCTAGATTCAAACCTTCAAGGTAGCAGAACACTGTCCTCAGGCTAAAAACCAATGCAAAACTGGTAATTTATTTTAATCCACTCACATGGTAGTCTTATTAACAGGAAGACAGATTTTGTGCATTGTTTTGTTTCTCAGAGAATTGATCACTAGTAGATGTTTTTCTAAACTGGTGCCTTATTAGATGTCTTAAAAAGTACTAATTTTTCTAGAAATTTTACTAATGTTATTTAACATTGTGTTTCATTATTGTCAAAGTTATCAAAATACATTATGCTAAAGAACAGTGATCCATAAGTACACTACATGAAAGTAATTACATATATATTAGATATATATCCTTGAATTTACATAGGAATTACAATGCTTTCTATAATTACAAAAGATGGAAATAAACCAAAAAGTGTATGGGGGAAAAGGGTGAAAAAAAAATCATACTGCCTCAAATGTTATAGAGTAAAATAATCAAATAAATTTCTATTTACTATGGTAAAATTCCAGACATCTTGCCCATATCCATATTCCAAAAGACTCTTTTCTAGTCTGAATATCATATTGATTGATCCATAGTGATCCTCATTTTATGAGGATTTAAATGAACAATCACCTATCCTGGAGATAGGGGCTGAAAAGAGATCTAGTGTCAAAGCCACCTAATTAGCATGTGCTCTAACACCAGAGGTTTTTCTGTCCCAGATGAAGGCTATCTTGCTACTCTTGTTTAGATGCTTTTTCATGCCAAAATGAACATGCTAGCTCTGATTAAGCAGTAAAAACCACTGACAGTTCACTGGACAAAATTGTGTATATTTAAGCTTCCTTAATTATAAATGAAATTGAATAACCAAATGCAAAAAAGAAAAAATTGATAAAGTGTCATGAAAAACACCTGAAAGCATGTGGAAAAATAAATTAACATTAATAACTAAACTGATTTAAATTCTGTTTTGAAAATGGTAAAATATTTGGGTAGGTATAGGGCATTTGGTATTAGGTCCTGTGCCTGAGCAAACTGTTCATCTAATGAGTACAGTGATGGATCAAGTTTTGTCTAAAAGGCATATTACATCAGAAGTGTTCACGTCTGTAGTTGCAAAGCCTTTGGACTTTGAGCCATGTGACAGCTGTACTGGCAATGATGATTTTGTCACCAGTACAAGGCTGCTGTGATGTCTCTGATGGTACTTCAGTCACAATGTTGGGTATTGGCTTAAGTTATTGATGAACTATGGGGGATGCAAAGAGAAATAGTCAAAAACTTAACAGGAGTTTTTTTCCCCATCACAATTTAGGGTTTTAACTAGCTTTGAGGTATTATTAGAAAAAGATTGCTCAAAAGTTTTGGTGTTGGAAATGCAATGATTTATTAAGTGTGTAAAAAATTTATGTTGGTGGATTTTGTATTCACTTCTAGAATATGAAAATAACTAAATGATCCCAACCAGGAAAAGCTCTCCATTCTGGGCTGTAATACGTGATTTACTGGAAGTCCTCAGATGCTTTCAACTGGCTCAAAGTCCACATAATCACAATTATATTCAAATACCTTTGTACTTCCATAAGAAAACAATTACAAAGGTATCTAATTACTAACATGATGCATTAGAAGAAAACACATGTCTACAAAACTCTTCTGAGATCACCTCATTTATAAAGTATTTTCAGACTTTGAAAAATTTATTGCTTGTGTCTGGATAAGGAGAGATGCACTTAATAGTATTTTGGGACTGTTTTTCAAACAGTAGCCCTAACTATATGACAGCTTAATCAGTTATATATTAATACCAGAATATACTACCAAGGAAAACATACAAACATGGTAAAAATTAGAAAGAAGACCCTTTTATTTATTAGTCTATGTGGCAGCACATTTTTTTCTCTCTCAGGATTTTTCATAGAGGTGCAGAAAGGGAAACAGAACATAATTTCTATTCTGGCTCTTTTTCTCTCTTTGCACCTCTATGAAAAATCCTGAGAGAGAAATGTGCTGCCACAAGTCTATCCATAAACCAAAAGGCTGAATTAGCTGTGTGGAGATATATATCCCTTGTACAAATTTAGAATTTAAAAGTTACTAACATGTTTTAAAATTCTTTAAAAACTACTGAGGATATAATAAAGAGAAACTATATAGAATATTCGATGTCTGCAAAACATCTACATAAATACACCAAAAGAAGTTTTCTTTTTTTTAAGGCATAAAGACTCTTTATGATATATTTGTTCTCTTTGTAAATGTCATGAAATAAAAAAAACACAAAAACCTTTTTACCTTCTACGAGTGACATTAGTTATTTAAACTTTGCAAAGTGATTTGGAATGTAACTAATTTGTAAATATTCTGGATAAATGTTAAATAGTGTTACTATAAATTTGCAATGAGATAAGAAATATAATAATATTATTTTACTGATTTACTAAAATGACAGCACCAAGCTTTGTTTATTCTACTGTGTAAATTCTTTAATGCTACACTGCTGCTGAACTTGGTTTTTTTAAATAATTGTGCACAGCCCAGGAAAAATTACTTCTGTGCAAATGTGGAGCTTTGTAAAAATCCACCAGTACTAGGGCCTTTTACAACATATAAGGAAATAAAGATGTGGCTGAGAAATCTTGTGGAATATCAAATCCTCTGGTAGCAGCTGGAACTAAATTACTCTGGAAAAATCCCTTTGCAGTTTTTTTCATACAAGGATCTTTAGATCAACAAGAAAACTTTAAACTGAAACTTAATCTGGAGCTTCTTGCAAACACAAATGGATCAGAGTAGGATAGCCACCGCATCTGAATGCATGGTCCTCAAATGGAAATAATCATAAGCAATTAATTAAACATTTAATTCAGATTTTAAATTTTCCAGTTGTACCTTGATTAATAAGCCCTGTTCTAAGGCATGAACTGAAATTTTATACTATTTAATATTCCAGTTTTATATCCTAAATATATATCTCTAATATTCTATTAGAATTATTTTTAAAAGTGAGGCCAAAAGTGAAAAAACATTTGAAAATTTCTGTTTTCTTTGTGAAGTAATCAATACTTGTCAGGATATCTCTGTACACCTAAGTTTAATAGGTCCGTCTTTGTTTTTATCAAACACCAAATCAATGGCTGTTTTGGTGAGCAGTAAAACCATATTGACCAGAGGAAAAGCCTCTTACAAATCATCCTAAGAATAGTGCAATTTTCTTCAACTCAAAATTAAATATTTATTCCTTAAAGGAATGTAAATAAAAATACTAACACCAGACAAAGGGTTTCATAACATGCTTATTTCAGAATATACCTATCTCTCTCTTTTCTTGATTTAAAAGCCTATTTGTTCAAAATAAAGTGAGCTTTGACTTTTCAAAAGGAACAGATTTTACTTTGCTTAAGATAGAAGCATAACTCAGAAATGCAATGAAATGTACTGTAAACACAATTTATACCCTTTCTGATGTATAAAAAATCCTGTTTATAAATGGACCAGATCATGTTCTTTGGTTTACAAATCTGTGTGAATCCTACTATGCCTGAAACATATATAATGGTAAATGGAGAAAGAATGGATTTTCATAGGAGTGGTGAAATTCCCTCTGCTGACTTAGAAGAAAAACATACCAATGTATGTGAAAAAGAACAGGCTTTATTGCAAAAGAGAATATTTTTAATTGAAAATTTAATTCCTCTAAGTCTCAGGTTTCATGTTAAAAGCTTGCCTTTGCATCCTGTTCAGCAGAAACCAAGAACTCTCATGACTACTTGATGGCAATCACAACTTCACCAGGGATCTCATCAATATTTCATGCAGTAAATTGATGAAACATGCTAATCTGAAGGGAAAAAAAAATAAAAAAAAGAGGAGAATTTTATGAAAGTCACGTATCCAATAAATATTTTATGAAACTCACATATCCATGTCCCCTCCCCATTCCATTTTTAAAATATTTTAAGGAGAACACAGGATGGTGTTTTGACTTCATTTGTTGTGTACATATACTGTGAACACACAAATAAAGCATGAGAAACATTATGTTTCAATAAGTTCCAAGACAACAAACACTTTTTCTGGGACTTTTAAATTCATTAAATATTATGAAATCTAAAGGTTAATTTTTTTCCCTAAATCACTCACATAAGACTAGTGTAAAAATATGTCTCACTGAGTAGGACACTTTGCAGATAGTGTACTATTAGTGAACACTGCACAGCATTTATTTGACTAGGACATCTCAGGAATTATCCTGATGTAAAGACACAGATGTCAGCCCTTTTGGAGGTGCCCTAAAGTTTATATTGCTCCATAAAGCATAGATGTTCTGCACCACATCTGCCAGCCCCAGGTGAGTGATTGAACATCCTAGGGACTTATACCATTGTGTGATGGCTGCATGAACAGAGGAACTGCATCCTAAGATAACCAGAAATTACCCATCTAATTTAATAATGCAGGTTCCATTATAGTAAAAAACCCCTAAAAAAACTATAAATAAAGAGACTCACCTACAAAAAATAATTTCTTAAATAGGAAGTATGTGTTTTCCTTTGGAAACTTCTCTTTTTCACCAATAGCAAAAACAGAGATTATTACTTTGGTTTTTTTCCCCTAGGTGTCTAAAATGTTCTGTTATGAAGTAAATCTTTTGAATTCAGTTCATAGACACAAGAATAAACTTTATTGCTTCTTTTAAAATATCCCCCAAATCAGTAGTCCCTTTCTTTACTTCAGTAAGAATTTATGGGAAACTGTGCTTTGTA